GTGGAGGAGAACTCAGAACTCTCCGCTCCAGCTGGGACGCGGCCCTGTGGGCGGGGCCTCGCGGTGGGCGGGGCCTCGCTGTGGGTGGGCGGGGCAGGGAGATTTTGCTGGAGGGGTCACCCATAGGGTTGGTGCAGCCTTGCAGGGGAGGGTCCTGGGCTCCCCTCCCCCAGTCTGTGACACAGCCCCAGCTGTCACCCCTTGCCCCAGCAGGGCTGCACTGGGAAAAGGGGCAGGTGGAAAATAGGAAAAGGGAGGGAGCTGTTTCCTGGGGCAGAAGCAATGTCGGGGGAGGCATGGGGGAGCATGTGCCTCCCAAGTGCCACGAAAGATGCCAGGGGACAATGGGCAGAGCCCCCTTTGTCAGCTGCTCTGGGCCACATGCTTTTGGGATCCTCAGGCAGGTGGGAGGGCCAGAATCGCCAGTGGTGGGAAGAGGGGATGTGATCAAGTAGTCGACTAGTCCATAAGCAAATGCTTATCAGATAGTCAACACACTAGTGGACTAGTTGTCCCTCCCCCCATCTCTATCAGAAAGAGACAGCAAGGGGGGAGAAGAGGAAGGGGTGCTGAAAAGCGGCAGCACAGCATGGAGGCTGGGGTTCGCTTTGAAACACCGCATACCGGCACGGGCCAGCTGGGGAGTCCCCAGGCTACATGTGGCATTTCATAGTGGCAGCACTGTGTGGAGCCCGGGATCAGCGGGGGAGTCCCCAGTTAATCCCAGGCTCCTCGCAGTGCTGCTACCTTGAAACACCACAGGGGCCCAGGCTAGTCGATTTTGTGTGCTCCAGCCCTGCGGCAAGGGTGCTAAAGCACCAACATGGTCTCCCTAATGCTGGGGGGAGAGCCCTGAGCCTTAGGGTCCAGATCCAGGCAAGCCGGGGGCCACATCTGGCTCCCGGGCCTTAGGTGCCTCACCTGTAAAGTAGAAGGACACACATGAAGGCGGAGAGACAGTCTCCCATTGCAGTTTTAGAATTAGCTGAAGACATTAGACCAATGGTCCTCAAACTTTTCAGTTACTTGCACCCTCCTTACCCATCTGTTCCTGCAATCCTCCCCATGCCCCTCCCCAGCCCATTCTGGGATTTGGGGCTGGAAGGGGCAGCTGACAAATGGGAATAAGGGGGCGGAGGCCAGGAACAGAGCTGTGGACAGGATCCAAGGCTTCGGCTGGGGCATGATTGAGGCCTGGACAAAACCATAGATGGGCTGAAACGAATGCTGCAGCTGCAGGCAGGATCAACATGTGGGGTCAAGGCTCAGACTGGTGCCGAGCTGGGTGCTCCTCTTGCCCTCCGCCATGGGAGATGGCCTGGGCCCCCAAACATTAATTTCTCTGTGCCCTCCTTGGGGGTGGGGGTGTGCCCTATAGTTTGAGGACCTTCGCTTTAAACGTAAGTGTCTCTGGGTCCCTCTCCCCACCTCAGGTCAGGACATCTCTCAGGGTCAGGACAATGAAAGACCAATGATGGCAGATCTCTGGGGTATTAGCAGTTGGTGGGAGTGGCAGTCATGATGGTGACTTTCTGTTCGCCCGACTTTGTCGACCAACATTGTAGTTGTTTTGCCCCGTCTTTTAAGGAGCCAAGGAAACGATGGGGCAAAAATCTCTCTAGCCCCAAGTTAGTTAGGTATAATTTCTGGACACACTACTTTTGGTTCATTGATTTCTGGCCCCACACTTGTTTACCAGGCATGATCTTAACAAAGGCCTTGAGTTATAGCAGTAGGTCTTTTGGTTTAGACCAGTTAAGTATGTTTGTTTTTCTTTTAACACCTTCACCCATCAACGTTTACTGTCGTAGGAGATTGTAACACTTTTATCTGTTTTCCCACATTCAGGCTTGCAAATGAATTCTCCTTCCAGGCTGCAATCATCCTGGGGGACTCTAATATTGTGCTAGTCAAGCCCTTTTCTAAAAGGATGCATTTCCAAATTGTTTATGTTCATATTAAATAGCACTTAAATACTTTTGAAAACCTCACCCCAAGTTACATAGGGCACGTCTTCACTACAGGCTGGATCAATGGGCAACGATCGATCCAGCAGGGGTTGACTGCCGAGCGTTCTCCCATAGACTCCGATACGCCACCAAAACAAGAAGAGTGAACGGAGTCGATGGGAGAACATCAGCTGTTGACTTCCCAAGGTGCAAGCACTACAGTAAGCAGACCTAAGTACATTGACTTCAGCTATGTTATTCACGTCACTGAAGTTGCATAACTTAAGTTGACAGTCTGCAGGAGTCTAGGCTTTAGCAGCACAAGTTCCACTGAATCTCAATGAATTTTAAGTCTCAAGTTCCTTTGGAAATCACAGCTTTAGTACCTAGTACGAAGGCAAACCGTTTAAAAATGTATGAGCTGGTTCGGTCCATGACCAGCTAGCAGGATTTTAAACAAGACTGACCATGTATTTGCTAACTGCATAGTCATGCTTAGTTTCAGGTTAGGTTAAAATACTTAAAAAAAAAAGTGATGTCTTTTTTCACTGTAGATAAACCCAAGGGGGTAATATGATCCAGTACATAGGTAAAATAGGCTAAAAGCAAGATTTTCACACTCCTGACAAAGTCAGCCTCTAAAGCCATGTCTACACTATAAGGTTATTTTGAATTAAGTTACTTTGAAATAACAATTTTGAACTAGCACATCCACGCTACAGGGAAGCCTCAAAATTATTCCAAGGCAGGCTCCCTTAACATGGATGTACTACCTTGATTTAGAGCCCCAGGAAGTACTGGGGATTCATTACTTCGAATGACTCTGGGGAGTAATTATTTCGAAATAGCAGCTAAGAGTCCACACTAATCTTATTTTGAAATAGCAATTTTGAAATGGGCATTATTCCTTGTAAATTCAGGGGTTATTTCAAAATAATGTGTGGATGCTCACCTTGTTATTTTGGAATAACTCCCGTTATTTCAAAATAACTCTGTAGTGTAGCCATGTCCCAAGAGAATAGAGGCCCAGCCTAGAAGGCCTCTCTGCCCTTCACACAGCTTCCCCCAGATCAAGAGATATTGTTGGAGTGATGCTCCTCTGGCTTTGTGGATGGGCTGTGGCTGCAGCTCCCAGGGGAGCAGCTAGATAGATCCTCCAGGGTCACAGAGTAGGATGCTGGGATGGAGGCATGTCTTGGAGACAGAGTACGATGCCTGGATTTTGGCTCAAAGTAGTGAACAAAACAGGGAGTACAGGCAGTCCCCGGGTTACATGGATCCGACTTACATCGGATCCCTACTTACAAACGGGGTGAGGCAACCCCGCACTAGCTGCTTCCCCCCAGCAGACCAGGGAGACGCGGAGTGGCTTTTCTCAGCAGATATCTCAGCTTGAGAATAAAGGACTGAGGGAAGTGAGGTGTGGGAGAATAAAACTGAGCTCTGGAGAAATGTTTGGCTAGAGTTTCCCCTACAATATGTACCAGTTCCGACTTACATACAAATTCAACTTAAGAACAAACCTACAGTCCCTATCTTGTACGTAACCCGGGGACTGCCTGTACAACTATATTTCAAGAAACTCACCATTCAGAAGAATGAGTGGGTTGTCTCCTGGTGAAAGAGGCTGACAGGAAAATGAACACTGAGTCCTTAGCATTAGCACTGAAAAATACTACCTGTCCCACTTAACAGTTCAGGTAAACCCACATCCTGATGGGGTCGTAGCTCGGGGTCACGGGGATCACCACAGGGGAGGTGAAATCCCAGTACTGGTACCTCCTCCACTCCACAGTCCTCATACCCTCATCTTCAGAGTACTCTTATCTATTATATTATTTGAGGGAGTTTGTCTGTCAGTCTGCTCAAGAACTCCTAAAAGGCAAGAGCTAGGACCATCAAATTCAGTATCCCATTTCCTCTTATAAAAATGGTTACTAACCTTTTGTAACTGTATGTTCTTTGAAATGTGATCTGTCCATTCCAATGAAGGTGTGTATGCGGTGCGTGCATGGTCGTCAGAAACTTTTCCCTAGTAGCCTCCATAGGGTCAGTCAGGAAGCTCCCTGCAGCAGCACCCGTATATGCCCAGTGTAGTGAATAAAGAGACAGCGTTTCGGTATTGTGTCTATGTTAATATCATCGGCACTGACTTAAATGGGGCCTGTGTGTTGTGTAGTCTTGCCTTAATCTTTGTATTCTTCCCCGTCAGTGTGAACAAAGCTATTTGCATAGATTTGCATATAGATTTGCAGGTGTATACAACCATACCTATGTTGCAGCCCTCGGCATGTTCTGTGAGTATCATTGTGGCCCCCGGAGCTTCCAAAGTTGAGGAGACCTGTACTAAAGTGTGTGCTCACATAGAGTTGATTGTGAAGCTTTTCCTCATATGGATCTTTTCTCTCCATTCCTACAGCCTGAACAGAGTTAAATGTAGGCACTTGACGATATCTGTGAGCCTCCACTGAGATGCATGGGGCAATTCACACTCCACAGAGCTATTGGATTAGTCTCTTTGCAAACTCACACAAGCACTGAGGAAGCAGCTGTTCTCGAAGTTCTCAATGCTTCCTTTGCAAGGTTCGCCCTTCCAGGGTCAGCCTTTCGTATTTCCTAAACGAAAACAGAGTCAGTGCACTTAGAGCCCTGCTTACCTGAACAACAATGATAACAGAGTAGTAACAAACTAGAACAACATACAAAGCAACAAGACTGATAAATGGAAGAATCTCTTTGTGTTTCTTTCTCTGCCATGTTTTTATAAACACTTTACATCATAATATCTAGACCTTATTAGAGAGCTCCTTCCATCAAACAAAACCTTCCAAGCAAGTGCAAGTAACCCTCAGGCCATGTCTTCAATGCACAGAAGATCGACACTGCTGCAATCGATCTTCCGGAGTTCAATTTAGAGGGTCTAGTAAAGACCCACTAAATTAAACTCAGAGTGGACCTGTTGGCACCAGTACTCCTGCTCCTCTGAGGAGTATGGGAAGCCAATGGGAGCGTTTTCTCCTTTCGGCTTCCTGCTCTGGGAATAGTGGGGATATTCGAATCAAGGTAGGTCAACTCCAGCTACGTAATTAACCTAGCTGGAGTTGCGTATCTTGATTCCACTTTCCCCTTTGGTGTAGAACTGGACTTTGTGTCTTTCCACGTACATTTTGATCTTTTAGATGTAAAAAATGGGTCTCAGCTTTTCAATTCTTAGAAAACTTGCATTCCTGGAATCATGGGGAATGGATTCCCATGTGCCAAAGGAGGGATGGATTTTCCATTCCCAGGTGCCAGGGGATGGGTGAAGTCTCTATTCCCCAGACCCCACGGCACAGACTTGTAATAGGACCATTACTGGTGGGCAACCAAGAAAAAGGCATTTCAAAAAACCATGCAGGGCTTTTAAAGGGGTGGTGCTGGTAGGGTTCCTGTTTGCACGATCTCTGGGCAGCGGAGTTCACAACTGGGACCAGAGTGGTCACTGCCATGCGTAGTGGGAAAGCTTCTGGAGGACTGACATAGGTCACAATGTGTCTGCACTCTCCCTGCATCAATCTCAGTAGGTCGGTATCATGTGGTTCGATTTATTTTAGCTCCAAGGGAAACCAGGACGCTCCAGGGCTACTTAACCACTGTCGTATTTATTGCAAGCTTTAAGCAGTTAATACAGTTGTTTACGTTTTACAAGCCTAAAAAAAAAAACTACACAATTTAAATCTTAAATGCTATAACAATGACTACACAATTTAAATCTTAAATGCTATAAATTCTAAAGCAATTAATACAGCAGAAAGCAATGCAAAAACAATTAATAGAGGATCTACTATAATACAATAATAGAACCTAGTTCACTTACACTTCACCCGTATGCTACCTACAGTACCAGGCCGGAGATCGTACTTCCTTTTCTTCCCACACAATGGAACTCCATTCAATGTGTGAAGGGTCTATTTACTTCTAGGTACATCGAGCAGGACCTGTGGGTCAATCCTACTCATTCCCTCCCATCGATTGTTCTTACTAAACCCATTTTATAGCAAAGCGAGACTTGGTCGGTCTAATCATATTTACCAACGGATTCCGTATTGTGTAGGATACGTCATGTGTCCAATGCCCTATTTGGGGCGTGTGACGGACCAGGCCGGGTCTGGGCAGCACTGAGGGTGTCCGCTCAGGACGAATTGCTCAAACTCTGGGCTCCTTACAGCCCCAGACTGGGGACCTTCCCAAATAGGCCAGAAACCAGTCACACCAAATGCTCTGGCTGCCTATCTGGCCAGCCTGAAGCCTCATGAGCAAAATCCATCTGGCACTTCAGCTCTTGTGTCCCAGTCAGCCCCGGGCCAAACACACAGGTGAGGGGTTTTAGAAGCCAATTTTGTCACACCCCGATGGTCCTCTCCTTCAAGAGAAGACTCTTTATTCCTGCCATGTTGCCTAGTTCCATTGGGCAGTGGGTGATGCTGGGAGAACAGGCCGAACGCAGGGCTCAGGGAGAGATCTAAATGGCAGGGCAGGGGGCGGCGTGGGAGCCCAGCAACTGGAGAGTTGGATGGGGTGGGTTTCCCATGCCAGCGCTGGAGGGGGACAGGAAATTGGGAGGGATCCGAGCAGCAGGTGACGTAGGGAGCAGAGGCCAAGGTGGATTCAGAGTGTACGAGGTGACTCCTGGCAGTGGGGGGAGTGAAGGCCGAGGGAGAAGGAGGGATCAGGCTGGCCTCAGACGTGAAAAAGGGGGGTAGGGGTGGAGATCCCAGCAGGCACATAGGTTAAGGTCACTTGGGTTAGTGGGTGGGGCATGGTGGGAGAGGTGCAGGTTTGCTTTGAGTGCAAAAGTGAGGTCGCTTTCTGCTTAGGCATGTGCCTCAGTTTCCCCTCCCCCAAACCAGCTGCCCCGGTCACTACTCGTTATAATGGCGGCACTGGATCACTCGGCAGATCTCTGTGACGAGGTCCCAGTACTCCTCGAAGGAGATCTTCTGGTCCTGGTTGGCATCCACCCTCTGAAACATGTTCAGTGCCGCCTCCGTGTGCTCCGTGTCCTGGAATACACCCCAGGAACAGCACGTCACTGCCGGGGCAGCCTCTGGGGCAGAGGTCAGTAAAGGACTTGGTGTGTGTGTGAACAGACTTGCAGTGCTCCTCTGTGTGTATGTGTGTGTGTGTCCGCACACACGTGTGTCTGTGCAAAGTAGCAGAGTACGTCAAACACACAGCTGTGTGTGTGTGTGTGTGTGTATACACACATGATCACACTAGGAGGGCTCTGTGCGTGTGTGTGAACAGACTTGCAGGGCTCCTGAAACACACAGCTGTGTGTGTGTGTATGTGTGTGTGTGTGTGTGATTAGACATGTGCGTGTGAGAGATCACAGGCCCATACGCAGGAATTTCTGGAGGAGGGGGTGCTTTTTTGGTAAACGTGGACCACAAGGGTGTGAATGCACCCCCTACACCCCCCCAAGTAAGGGGGAAAATCAGCCCCAGCCTTCCCCCAGCTAGCCAGAGCATGCTTACTTGGGGAACCATTGGGGATGTGAACCCTTTGCACCCCCTCTGCATATGGGCCTGGATCAGGGGTGTGCGTGTGCGATCAGACTTGCAGGGCTTTTGTGTGTGTGTGCGCGCGCGCGTGTGTTAGCAGGGCTGTTGTGTGTGCGTGCGCGTGTATGCGCTTGATCAGATGAGCAGGGCTCCTCACACACCAGGGCGGGGAGGTGTGTGAAGCAGAGGTGGGACCCAAGTGAAGCTGGAGGCCCATTGGCAGAGATGTGAGGGCTGTAGGGAGGCAGAGCTGGCACAGCAGGGGGGCAGTGGGTCAGTGGCATTGGCCGAATGGGGGGGCAGGAGCCGAGTCCCGGGAGAGCAGGGGGCTGCGGGTCGATGAGCAGGGCTCCTCACACACCAGGGCGGGGAGGTGTGTGAAGCAGAGGTGGGACCCAAGTGAAGCTGGAGGCCCATTGGCAGAGATGTGAGGGCTGTAGGGAGGCAGAGCTGGCACAGCAGGGGGGCAGTGGGTCAGTGGCATTGGCCGAATGGGGGGGCAGGAGCCGAGTCCCGGGAGAGCAGGGGGCTGCGGGTCAGGACTGACCGGCCTCTTCCCCCAGCCCCACCCCCGCTCTGTCTCTTCCCACCCCTGCTTCGCCCTCTCCCCGAGCCACCCCCACAACCACTGAGTGCCTCCTGCTAGCTGCTCTCTGATCTGCAGCCAGGTCCCAGCTACTGTAGCTGGTGGGAGCTGGGCACCCCTCTTTGTTTTCCCATGAGTTCTTGAGCCCTGGAGCACCCATGGTGTGGGCGCCAGTGACTGGCTAGCGGGGGGCAGGGGAGGAAGGGCAGGGCTAAGAGGCACCAGCAGATCCCCCTGGACTAGCAGGAAGCAGCTGAAAGCTCCGGTTCCCTTGGGATTCCAATAGCCGGGCCTCACTGTGAGCTGATGGCTCAATTCATTGCGGAGCAACCTCTGGAAAGCCGCCTGGTCCAGCTCCTTTAACCCCTCGGGGCCCTCGGCGTATCTGTAGAAACTGCCCACGATGGCGTGGAGGCCCCGTTCCAGCTCAGAGCCCTCCCCGGCCGTCTCGCCTGGCTCCCTGCCATCTCCAAAGCAAAAGCAGGCGTCAGTAGGGGCCCACCAGGCCCAGAGACCTCACCTGGGAACTTGTGGTATGAGAAGCGGGCAGAGGGGGTGAGATATCTGCTGCTGGGGACACTTCTGCTGCAGTCTGGGGAAGGAGTGGCAGGGAATGTGTAGGGGTAGATAGATAGATAGATAGATAGATAGAGGGGGTGGATGGGGATAGATAGATAGATAGATAGATACAGGGTGTGTGTGGGGATAGATAGATAGATACAGGGTGTGTGTGGGGATAGATAGATAGATACAGGGTGTGTGTGGGGATAGATAGATAGATACAGGGTGTGTGTGGGGATAGATAGATAGATACAGGGTGTGTGTGGGGATAGATAGATAGATACAGGGTGTGTGTGGGGATAGATAGATAGATACAGGGTGTGTGTGGGGATAGATAGATAGATACAGGGTGTGTGTGGGGATAGATAGATAGATACAGGGTGTGTGTGGGGATAGATAGATAGATACAGGGTGTGTGTGGGGATAGATAGATAGATACAGGGTGTGTGTGGGGATAGATAGATAGATACAGGGTGTGTGTGGGGATAGATAGATAGATACAGGGTGTGTGTGGGGATAGATAGATAGATAGATAGATAGATGGGGTGGATGTGCATATAGAAAGATAGATAGGAAGATAGAAAGAAGAGGTGGATGTAGAGAGAGAGAGAAAGGGGGGAGGTGGATGTAGATAGATAGATAGGGTGAATGTAGATAGAAAGTAGGGTTGGATGTAGTTAGATAGATGGGGTGGATGTAGATAGATAGATAGGGTGAATGTAGATAGAAAGTAGGGTTGGATGTAGTTAGATAGATGGGGTGGATGTAGATAGATAGATAGGGTGAATGTAGATAGAAAGTAGGGTTGGATGTAGTTAGATAGATGGGGTGGATGTAGATAGATAGATAGGGTGAATGTAGATAGAAAGTAGGGTTGGATGTAGTTAGATAGATGGGGTGGATGTAGATAGATAGATAAATAGAAAGAAGGGTTGGCTGTAGATCGATAGAGAGAAAGGTTGGATGTAGATAGATAGGTAGATGGGGTGGGTGGGGATAGATGGATTATAGGGCACAGTGTGCTCTGATTGCTGATACAACGGGGCCCTGATCTAAGATGGGGCAGGGTGTGGCTCCTGCTCTGTGTGCAGCGCCTAGCATATGGCTTGTCTACTGTGAACGGGCTGGTGGTTGACGGGTTCTGAGGAGGGTCTGAGGTTAGGTGGAAGGGGAGGGTGAGAGAAAATGATACATTACGTAGAAGGATGACCCTAGGCTGTGGGCCATTCTGATTAGCTGATGGAAAGAAGGCTCCACAGATAACTTCAGAGAGCGAATTCACCGGTGTCCAGATTGAGCAGCTTTGTTAATGATGCAGATCTTACCCCTCTTCTCCCCAGACGGCTTCCGCTGCAAACTCTGCCCCATGGGCTCGCAGGGGTCAGTGCTCCTGGTTTGCTAGAGAGACCAGAATTAGCAGTGAGCGTCGCGATGAAGGCTCAACAAATCTCTAAGATTCTGGCAGAGGCGGTCACCTTGAAAAGTAGTCAGAGTTAAAAGTAGACAATGCTGCGAGCTACGGCCATGGCTGTGAGATGGTTCAGGAGAAATGCCCGGGGCTCGTAAAAGGAACAGAAAAAGGGTTAAAAGAAAGAAGAGAAACAGCAGAGGCCTGGGCGCAGGCAGTGGAGAGAGACACGATACCTTTACACCGAGCACCGGGACCGCACAGAAAATTGGGAATAAAACTATAGAGACCTACGAGTAGTCCTGTGGCACTGCAGAGAGTCGGAAGAGAGAAATGCCGGCCCCTGTTGTGATTCTGCTGGGCAACCCGCAAACTTCAGCAACTTTTGTACTGCCCGAAGAATGGGGCCAGGAATGGTACTCGGTGGCCAGTGCAGAATTAAAAGCTGGAACATGGAATGACTGGAATGGGTGCTGCAAAGAGGGTGTTGGGAATGACCCAAACCAGCCACCGAGCAAGCCACGACTTGAGGAGTAGATAAACACTAATTTCAACGGCTATGTCTAGACTGCAAGCCTCTTTCGAAAGAGCCTCTTTCGAAAGAGAGCATCTAGACTGCATGCGGAACTTTCGAAAGAGCAAGCCGCTTTTTCGAAAGAAAGCACCCAGTGAGTCTGGATGCTCTCTTTCGAAGAAGCCCTATTTACATTCAAGAACGCCTTCTTTCGAAAGAAGCACTTTCGAAAGAAGGCGTTCTTCCTCGTGAAATGAGGTTTACTGCCGTCGAAAGAAAAGCCGCGTTCTTTCGATACAATTCTGAAAGAACGCGGCTGCAGTCTAGACGCAGGTGAAGTTTTTTCGGAAAAAGGCTACTTTTCCCGAAAAAACCCCTGAGTCTGGACACAGCCCACGTGAAACACCAGGAGAGAGCAGCTTAACCTTTGGAATGGCTGCATTCACGCCCAGAGGTGCCTGCAAACGGTTAATTGCAGCTGGCAAAAACACTCCTGTCACTTGCTGGCACGCAGACAAAAACAACAGACCCCAGCCAAACAAAATCAAGTTTTACCAGAGCAGCTCTACTCTCCTCTCCAAGCCAGGATCCTGGCTTTCCAAATCCTTACTCCCCAGGCATTTCTCACAGCTAATGAGATTGCCTTCATTCTTAAATAGTTTACTGGACCCGTTAAGCTTTCCTTTATAGCCTCTCCATGTGCAACAGACACTGCGGCTGCCGCTACTGCAAATTAACGTGACTACTTCATTAATCTTCCTTGGCGCACGTCTCCCTTCCTCCCTAGCCTGCCTCTTACCACATTCCCTCTGCCTCTCCTCACGGCTGCTCCTCTCTTTGTCTTAAATGTTATAAAGTCCCAGAGGGGTGGCCATGTTAGTCTGTAATGTTAAAAACCACCCTCTCTTTGTCATAAATATTATAAAGTCCCAGAGGGCTGGCCATGTTAGTCTGTAATGTTAAAAACCACAAGCAGTCCTGTGGCACCTTAGAGACTCACCAAAAATCGATCTATAGTATCAGGAGCTTTCGTGGGCACAGCCCACTTCTGCAGAGGATCTGGAGAGGGATAACACAAACCCAGACTTTATAACAGAAAAAGAAGAGGGAAAAAAAAGCACCTATCAATTGTAGGGACCACAGCTAATGAGGCTAATTAAGTGGGCTGGAAGTGTCCCGTATTCCATCCGTGTGTGGAATAATTTTCTTGTGTGCACCAAGGCCTGTGCAGATGTGCACCACCAGTAGAAACAAAACCGAGCTGTGTACCCTCTGCTAAGTCCATGGGGCTCTCTCCTGCATGGCCGCAGAGGGCACATTGGACATGGGCAGCATGAGATGGGCAGAATGGGGTTTGGGGTTGGGGGATTCCAGCAGGCAGGCAGATTAAGGTGGCTGGGTTTTGTCAGAATACGGGGTGGTGGGGGAGGTGCAGGTTGGGTCTTTAGCAGTGGTCACCAAGCAGTAGATCAGGATCTACTGGTAGATCTTGGAGCCTCTGACAGGGGATCCTGGCTGGTTTAGCCGGGAAGCTACCAAGCGCAGGCACATCAGTTGCTCCTCTACCTACTGTCATGCTTCTCCTGCCATCTGCCTTGGAGCTGCTCCCTAGGAGCCTCCTGTTTGCTGTGCAGGGTTTGGGAGGGAAAAGGGGGTGGGCTGATGTCAGGGTGTCCCTCCTTCCCCTCACTCCTGCACCCCATCTCCACACAGAGAGAAGGCGATGGAAGGAGCTTGACAATGCAAATCTCTGTCACACACACACTGTGGCTGTGTCTAGACTGGCAAGTTTTCCTGCAAAATCATCCGCTTTTCCGGAAAAACTT